ATATGTTTTCAAAATATTCCCCAAACAGTATTAAAAATAAACTACCGCAGATGGGAACATTAGTTTACCAGTTGCACTGAAGTAGATGTATTGATTCTAGCACAAACTTTCCTTCCAGTTTTGTTTAAAATGAGTTAGGTTTTTTTGCAGAATGGTGTTCAAGCAGTAGCGCGGTAAATTTTCAGCTTATGCCTCTGGGTTGTGATGGTGGGCAGGTGGTTACAAAGAGAACTTTTTACTGGAGTGGGAGGCATTTGGGGGATTGAGAAGTGCAGAATGTGCTGGGAAAAAGCACTACAGCTCAAACTAGCTGGTAACTAAGAAACTTTCAAAAATTGAAAATTTATAACTGTTTCCACTTATGAGGCAACTATGTTATAGTTTATTGCAAAAGAAAACTCATCGGGACTTAATTTCAAATAAATTCTGCTAGACACTTCCACTGATGCTGAGACTAGCTGCAAAGGAAATAGTTTACAACTTCTCTATGGCCTGTAATACCATTGATTTGTGTCATTGCAACACACAACAATGGTGGTGAAAAATCCTCAAGTACTTCAAAGAAATACAGGTATAGAAATGAGGAAGCAAGTTTCCATCCAGCTATAAAGCCAATCTCCAGGAGAGCATGGTAGAAGGACAGTTCTGGATTAGGCACTACAGACACACAGGATTCTCAGTCCTCACAACAGTGCAAGCACAGTCTTAGTGCTGCAGAGGGGGAAAGCATGTTCCTTTCTTTTGTTCTCTTTAACACAAACCTGTATCATTTTACTCCCCTGTTCCTCAGCCCATAACTGTCTCTGTCTGCCATTAGGCTGCTAATCCATACAGTAAAGCTTGTTGGTTTTATTTTGGTTTTCTTTTCTCCTCTCATAGGTAGGGTAGTTCAGAATTACTGGAGATAGTCACCTTTTATTTGGAATTGGTACTTTCTAGAGTACTTGTAATAATTTCCTTTTTGTTTTCACTCCCCCTCACCACCCCAAATTGGTTTATATAGTAAAGAAGTTATCTGAAACTTCTCAAAAGGTGGTTGCTGATGTACTCAGGGCAGTTGGACTTCATTAAGCTTGTAGTTTGGAAATCCAGACTGCATATGAATTCCATTCCTGTAAGTCTGGAATAAGACTTGGTAAGCAGGAATTCAGTTGTGGTCCACATGGAAAAACAACAACAAAAAAGTCACTTTGGGGTCTTTCTTGCTTTTTTCTGAAGTACAATAACCTTGGAGACGCTTAAGAAGAGTTTGCTCATTTTATTAATTTTGCATGCCAATGTGTGGTTTGGGTTTTTTTTTTTTGGTTGGTTGGTTTTTTTGTTTGGGGGCTTTTTTGTTTTGTTTTGTTCTTTGATGGATGTATCTGAATATTTGAAAGATGCTCTTAGTGAGCAGGAATTTTGCAGGAATGAAAAGTGGGTAGCAAGAATTTTAGCACTTTAACGTGACTGATATGGTAGATTTAGTTCAGGTCTGTTAAGATTATTTTATGTATTTGTTTTAAAGCTGGGCAAAAGTTTATCCTCTCCTACTATTGCTGTTACAGAGGATATGGCTAAAATGGAGAAATAGGCCTTGGAGTTTTGAAATGCTGGTTAAACAGAGCCTTTGCTAGCAGAAAAGTTTCTTGGTTTGTTGTGCAGAGGGGAAAAGAAGGGTCTATTCTAGAAATCTTTCTGGTTTAGTAACAGTAAATAGTTCTGGAGTCTGGATGTTGTAAGATCCAGTAAGAGCCAGTAAATAGAGCAGGCATTTCTTTCTCTCCACCTCTGCTTTTTCTGATTTTTAATCTCAATTTTTATTATTTGTATGTTTCCAAGAGAATAGAGGCTAAATAATTGAAAACATACTCTTCATAGATCATAATTCCCTATTCCAAGTTGTCCTTGATGTTTCAGGCAGAATTGCTTGTTGTTGTAGAACACTGTCTGAGACAGCATTTCCCAGATCAGTGGGTTTCTTTTCCCCCTGACTTCTCAAAATGGGTTTGTATATCACATGTTCTGCCAGGAAGGAAGGCATCCAAGGGTGGTAATGCTGCCAGTTAGATGTTTAGAGGTGATCCACTCTGACAATTTATGGATGTTTACTAGCTTGTTTTTTTTCCTAATGATTATCAAATACTGAGGCTATCCATTTGAGTCACCAGATGGGTCTTATCCATCATATAGGCCTGCAGTACCTTTAGTTTTCAGCCCATCCTAAAGTACAGTAATTCTGTTCTGAATCCACATACTTTGGTTACTTAAGCCAAGCTTGTATTCACATAATAGCCATGCAGGAAGTACTAAGAAATGAAAATATGGTGTGTATCAATGGAAACATTTATTTAGAAGTGTTTGCTTCATGCAAACAGCTGGAATGTTGTAAGCCTTACATCCTGCTCTGTAATGGAGCATTGCTTTGCACTTTTTCTCTCTGTAGCTCATTTTGCAGCATTAATATAAATTGTTCTGAGCTGCTGTAATTGACTAAAAGTTTGTGCTGTGTTTTTCTAATGTCCTGGTTACCAGTAGATTTGAATATCTAAGTACTCTGTATTTTATGAAGCATGTAGCGTGGCAAGACATCCTCTGTTGGTATTTTTTTGGGTGTTTTCTCTTTTTCTTTTCTTTCTCCTGGTGGATTGTAATAAGTCCTGAGTGGGCATCTTTTTTTCCATTCCAGAATCTTCCTCTACTTAGCCAGGACCCAAACCATGTTTCCGCAGCCTTTCATCATTGCTCACAAAGTAGGTACTTAAAAGCCCTTCAGCTGCCCGTTCAGGACTTTAGTATGACTATAGCGGAAAAGTTTCTGCTGTGGAGCTGATCCGTGTGGTTATTATCTACCAATATTGGCCACAGTAGTTGTTTTTTAAGAGATATTAAGAAAATAGGACATTACTGATTTTTTTTTTCTCCACAGAAAATTACTGCGAAAGATAGCTGGGGTGTTGTGTACATTTTTTCGTGGCCATAAAGGTGTGCTTTGGTGTGTGTACTTGTTTGTGTGGTTGGTTGGTTGGTTGGTTGTTTTTTGCCCTGGAGCATAATTGTGAGTGTACCTTACAATTTAGACATTTATCCTCCTACCCCATTTCTAAAATCCACCCTCAAACTGCAGTCCCTCTAAGTTCTTTGGAATTTAAGTTGAGGATCCTTTAATTGCCATTTAATTGCAGTTGCTTGTTTTATTCCTATTAAATTACCACTAAGGATGACAAGGCCTACAGGCTAATCAGGTTGTAGCTAATGTCTGATTCCATAGAAAATACAGCAGCTCATATTCATCATAACGAATAATACTGTATTTTGATCCTTATTCTGTCCTCCTATAGGAAAATACACATTTTTGTATAGTTTGCTGGTTTGAGCATTCGTGTCCTGTGGTAGAGCTGAACTGCTATCACTATTTACCACCATAACTTTTTGTACAAAATTATAACTACACAGTAAAATCAAGGCATAGTTGCAGGATGGGTAATCAGCGGTTATAAAAAGCAACAGGAAAGCCTAGGGGTTACTTGATATCTTTCATCCAGGTGTCTCAAATGTTCAATGTGAACATTAACTGATATGTAATTAATGTGCTGCTATGTAAACCATACCCAGACAGCTTAACTGTCCTGTTTGAGATTATATAGTAATCTATAATACACAGTAAAATCCAATGCTTTAATCAGTAGAAAGGACCATGGTCTGTACTGCAGAAAATCATGGGAGAATATGTGAGAACAGGCACTGCCTTAGGCTGTGTGTTTTGAATTTCCTACTTTATAGCAGAATTCAGGATTTTCTCTTGGAAAGATGATTCAACTTCTCTAAAATACATCTAGTCCAATTGTGACAACTAATAGTCAACATGCAACTCCACAGAAATGAACACATTCCTCAGACTTCAACATAATACAATAGTAAGCAGGTAAGTAAAGCCAGTAGACCAGGAATTTAAGTGACAAGGCAAGTTTTGATTCCCAAAGTACAAACAAATTTAAATGATGTAATATATAATGCTGAGCTCAAAACACTGACAGTTTGACATTCATGCATTGTGCAGCATTCAAGTCACAAAACTCCAAAGACCTAGGAGACAGACCCAGCAGGAAAATGAATTTAAGATCCGCATTGTTGTGGGCAACTTGTACCTTCAGCAAAACACTTCAGTGTTTCATGAAAGCGAGCTGAAGAGATGCTTTAGTCTTCATCCAGAAGTTGAGGAACTGAAGCACAGAATGTTTCAGCTCAGATTCACTGTAACTGAGGTGTATTAGCCTGGCAATTATTCACTCCAGGTTCCCACTGTAGTCAGTGGCCAGCTTTGAATCTTACCCTTTTTCCATAGGAAAACTTTTCTATAGCAGTCATAGGCAGTACTTTAACCATTAAATTGTGCTGCCAGTTATTTTATCATATGTTTTTTATAATGTGTTAGAATTCCTTTGACGACTAAAATACAGGGTGCTAACACAGAATTATAGCTGTGCCAATGATCTTAGAAAATAGTAAGTTCTAGTTCCCAGTTCATTGTGAAAGGATTATAAAAGCTGTGTTGCCCTTGTCTCCTGCAGTCATCAGCAAAGTAGTAAACTTCATTAATTTTTTGCCAGAGACTTCTTGCAGAAGAGAATGGGCATGTGGTCTCACAATATCCTCAGTAAGTTTATTAGTATGGACATCCTCTAACACAGAATTTCTTAAAGGGATTTAAAAAAATAAATAAATAAAAATCATCTTATTCTCCTTTAAAAAAGCCTGTTGAATGCAAATTGCCATAAACAATCCTATAGTTGAAATATATATAGTTGAAACCCTATAGTTGAAATACTCTAGGGGTAGATCTTGTTGTCATGTGAACTCAAAAACATGTACTGAACATAAAACACAACTCTCTGTGCCAAGCTCAACTGGCATTAGAATATCTGTTTTAGTAATGCTGTCTGTCACATGAAAACCACTTGATTGCATTTAATGAATCTCTCTTTGTTAGTAAAAAATTGTATATATTTATGTCACTACAGGTTTATCACGCAAGGTTAATGATCTGGGTAAGCCAGAAAATCTTTCCAACCAGCCAACGGGATGGGGGATTTCCAAAGGTAAAGTTATTTATGTAATTTCTTTCATCTAATAAACAGCTTACTGAGATGAAAGTTTTCAGGGGTGAAAAAAACCCCACCCTAACAAGAACACTCTCCTCCTCAAAAAAAACCAAACCAAACTAAACCAAAACAAAAAGTAAACCACACTGGAAGTTCAGTGGATGTTATTTTTTGAGTGGTTCAAGAGAGTAGCCAGCTTTTATGATTTCATCATGAGTCTCATGGTGTTCTGTTTTTCTTAAAGCCCTGGCTCCCTGAGCCAGGCAGTTAACTGAAGCTTTCAGCTTTCATTTTAAAATTATGTTTTTAGCCTTCAGGCTTGCAGAAAACATGGATTCTTGCTGACTACATACCAGAAGAAAAACATACTAATTTTCAAGTGCTCATGTTTTTTTAAGCCTGTCTCATGATTTTACAAGTTTGATATCTGAGTTTTGAGTGCTTGATTTTGACAATTCTCTCTTAGCAGTGCAGATGAAAAAGTCAATGATAATGCAGGAGGAGGAGGAGGAGGAAGGAAGTGGTGTGGTTTTTTTTCTTTTGTTAAGTTTACTGCTTGTGCTTTACCTGTCTTGAGTAGCAAACATCAAAGCATGGCAGTTTTTGTCTGAGTTTGACAAGAATTACCCCAGCATAAATGCAGAAGATGTGGCTTCAGTTTCATAAGATTTTTTTTTTTGTTACTATTGCTGGTTTCATAAATGTGAATCTGGATATGAAATTTGAGTAGGAAAATGCAACAATTACTCACAACCACAGAATGTACATGTTTTATTTTCATTGTCCCTTGCATTACTGACTCAAAATCTGGCCAAAAAATGGCAGGTAAGTAAAGGAGAGAGCACACAGGAAACTGTTTTGGATATGTTTCAATTATTGTCTAGGCTTCAGCTCCCTGTTCACAAAACTCTGCTATTTCATCTGGTTAACACTATATTTTCCACACTTTTTCTTTATAAAGTGACTTTTAAAATTTATAGCTGGGATATTTGCAGCCTGCTGTTTGCAGGCTTATGTGCCAGCATGCCAATCTTTAACATATATTGCAGCACTACCATTCTTAACATTCAAAGTATTTCAGAAGTTCAGCTGAGTATGCTGATAGCAATGCCAGATTACAATGAATGTGCTATATATATGGTCATACTTAATTTAATTTGCCAGTTTTATGAATCAGCTGTGAGTTGACTATATGATTGTTATTCAAAATTCTAATTTTGCAGCTTTTAGTAACTTGTCATTCATCATTAAATGAAGTTGCTCCTGACACACTGGCATGAAACTGTGAACTGTGCAGCATAGTTAGTAACGATGCTGCATTATATTGGATTTATGAATAGCTGTTTTTATGCTGTATATAGCTTAAAAAAAGTTTAACAAAAGGGATAATTGTTTCTCAACTGGTCAAAACGTATTACACTTTTTTTCCTTTAAAGTGAAAGTATTCCTGCTATATAAATAAAATGCATTTTTCTAGCCTTTATGTAATTCTTCAAAAGATATTTGGCATATGCTTACAAGGACCATTTTTTAGAACTAGGTCCAAATTTTATTTCACAATTGATCTTCAAGAGCAACTTGAACATCAGCTGCACACAACGCAGCTTCCAGCAGAGTATCAGCCTTAACAGAAAACAGGGTGTCTTTGGAATCTATTTTTTTCCAGACATCCTATACAATTAATCAGGGTAAATTGCCAAAGAAGGTTGCAGAAAGTGCTCAGTCTTACAGCGTGATGTTAAACAGCTTGAACTACTGAAAGAGTAAAGTGAAATTAACAGATTTTTTGAAACTGATTTCAGAAAAAAGTACTTTTTTTGTTTTCATGCAAACAACAAATACAGGATATATTTCTTAAGGACAATTTATTTCCAGACTTAGAAAGGTCATATGGGACTTTTTATCTTGTGATTGTATGGCAGAATCTCAGGACTCAAGATTGTTTTCACAGCTGGAAAGGGACTGCCCAACATAATGCTTTTGGAAATTTGCCCAGACATCTGGTCTGTGTGGTGTGCCTGTTTGTATGCATAAGTTTATAGTTTTCTTCTCACATCCTGTAGTGATACACAAGTAACAAATATAGTAAAAAAAACACCAAAAAACCAAACCAAAAAAAAAATAAAATATATATATATTATCATTGGGGATGGAATTTTCTAGAGTCCTGTGAGGAAACATGTTTGTGCAGCCCTAGAATTTAAAAGTTATTTTTTCATTCTGAAATTGTCTCTTGGAAAGTCCCTGATTTGGCTCTAGCAAAGGCAAGGTATGTTTTTGCTCATACGTCTTCCCCTGACTTGGAGAGCCCTTCTGCATTTGTACACTGACTGAAGTCTGCTCATTTCTTGATGCCCCAACGGAAGAAGGCACCATTTGCCCCTGGGAAAGGACTTTACTCTGTGTTCATCCAGAAAACTGCTCCTGGCTGTGTGCAGTGCAGAACGCTGGGGTGGGGGGACTTTATCTACCTGAAAGCAGAATTTATCCTGTAAATTTTGATAAAGACAGTGGGAGAGTCATGGGGCGGCTTCATTCCCAGCACAAGCAAATATAGCAAATACAGACATTCCAGTGAAAATTATGGCTTTGAAGAACCAGGAAAGGAAAATTGCTGAAAATTGCATTTTCTTGGAAATTCTGAAACTGCTATGTGTTTAATTCTTAATTCAGAAATTCACAACTCTCAAATCAGAGAAATTGAACAGGGAGAAGATAATTTCAACTTCTTAAACAAACTGAAAGGATTCTGCTTATATGACAAATATGTCCTAAGAATAAAAGCAATAAAATACCTCTAATTCCAATGTCTCGATCACAAACTCCAGAGATCTTTGCCATAACTTACAATATATTACTAGCTAAACAAATTCTTTTTATGATCCCATAGTGACATAGCATCAGCAAAGTACTTTAAGCATATGCTTAGTCTTTAGGCTTCCTTCTGAGACTTAAACTGAAACATATAGTTGAATGCTTTGCTGAACAGGTGTAGACTTCAGCCAATGAATGGTTAAGTATGGTTAATAACAATCTATCTGAGGTAGCTGGCTGATACGGCACACCATCTCCTTCCTTGTCCAGAGGCAAGTAACGCACTGTAGTTTTTCAGTGCTCTTTTCAATGAAGTAACTTGTTAGCATATGCTAGCTGTTTAAGCTGTATAATGTATAAAGGATGAGGGGTCTAAGCTGTAAAGGATTCTCTTAATAATATGAACTTTCATAACTAAGATGCATTTTTATGTTGGAGGCCAAGTGAAAATGTAAAATAGAGCTTGGGTTTAAAAAAAAGCAAGTAGACAAATGAATTTATCAGTAGATTATACCATTAAGATCAATTTTTTGGGTACCCAAGTTACTGAGTTGTATTTCCAAAGAGGCTTGGTGCCATTTGTTTTTTGTAGCCAGGAGTTTTGCATTCGTAACACTGAAACACTGTGTCTGCCTTCTGTGCTTCACAGGTGCAAAACAGGTAATTGCTCATTTTCAGCCATACTCGTATACCAGAAATATTGCACACACACCACCTGCAGGTGCAGGTTTAGATCCGAGCTGTCCCAGCTATTATGAAGGGCACAGAAAAGGTTTGGTTGGGCAGGAGTGAGAAAAATAATTTTGAGAAACAGTGTAAGGATGTGCAGCTGAAGGTGAAGAGATTATCACTGCGTGTAGCTCTTCCCCTGTAACATTACTGGGATAGTTGGGGTCTCCCCAGCTGCAACAGACGTCTAAATTCCCCAGTCCAGCAGTTGTTGTTGGATTAATTCTTCTGCATTTTGGCTCTGTTGGAGCACACTCCTTCATCCCCAAGTGAAAAGCTTTTCTCAGATGCTGCAAGGTTTGCCTGGTTTTCTCAGATGCTGCAAGGTTTGCCTGGTTTTTAAACAATCCTTTTCTGCATGGGCATTAATACTTACAATTGGTCCAGCAATGTTTAGTAGATGTTTACTTCTGAACTAAAGCTAGGGAACTATGGAAAGGTAGGATCAGAGGAGGGCCCCACCAGTGAAACAGGCTTCACTGAAGCACAGCTAATACTTGTTTTTCCTTTCTGCAGGGAATTCTCCCCATCTCAAAGGAAGTAAATCGCAAGAAGAAAAGTGAGGCAAAAGGGGCAAGCCTGGTTCCAGTAAATGGCTACGGACACCATTTCGCCAGAATCAGTTACCTCTACTCTTTTTAGTCATAATTTCTTCATTTGTGTTACATATGGTATATGGGTTTTATGAGGTCATGGTGTCATATATCGGGAATTGTTTCTGTGTATATCATCAAGTGTAAGAAGAAACTATGGGACTCTGAGCCTTGCTTTAGAGAATAACAGTGGACAAATATGTACCATAAAAAACAGTTTTTAACATTCTGACTCAAGCAAAAGCTCTCAGAATTTCACACTGTGAATCCATGTTTACAAACATTACAGGTGGGCCCTCAGGCCTAGTTCTACCACAGCAATGTCTTCCACCACTCAAACTCCACTGCTCACACGCAACCGGTAAACCACTCTCTCCATTTCCACCATCCCAAACTGCTTCTTGCAGAGGCTGAGAGTCCCCCTTTTTTCATTTAGATGTAACAAGACTAGTACTTTATTTTCATCGATTGTCTGTATATCTCTATATTTTATCCATGTACTCTTTTGATGTATAGAAGTAGTATGAAACTCATGGTTTCCTTGTGGTAAGTGATTGTGATGCTGCCACGGGATTTGAGACACTGATGAATGGTGCTATTTTGGACTTTAAATATGCTCCTTGGCAAGGTAGCTCTGATGGAGTTATTTTTTATTTCCATGTTCTGAGAAGGTGTTGGTACTTTGTTTTTCTGAATGTTGTTCTTTGGACTGGACTGACTTGTTTACTTGTGTCTTCAGTGTGGCTTTCTTATTCAGTGCTGTAGGTGAGAAACTACTTATAGTGTACAAGTGAGGAACTGTTTTCCTATCAGGGTCCACTCACAAACATACAGTTATAGTGGGAGCAATCACAAAACTGTAATTTATGTAAAATCCCCTTTCTGACTCCTATCCACCTAATGGAGAAAGATGAGCAATAATTTTCCACCAACCTCTCAAAATCTCTTTTCATTTTTGTCCTTTTTTTTCTTTTCTTTAACACCTTTTTTAAAGAAGGGACAAGTTTTAGTGTCCTCTTCAAATTCATAAAATAGGGGATATAGTTAGAAAAACACAGCAAATTTCTGGGAGGAGAAGTCCTAAAGGGGAAAGAGCACATTTCCACAGTACTGTCAACACGTGGACTTTACATTTTTGTTCTTGCTCCCTGACTACTTTAAATGCAAGATAAAACAAAACACAAAACTAAACAGTATCATCTGCTCATGGAGTGGTGTTGTGCTAGACGCAGTCTGAAAGCCCACCTTAATTTTTTATATAATTCTGTCTTTTAGCTCTTCCTTCTACAGGGCAGGCCTTGTTCTGAACTGTTTTAGCTTCTGACTGTTAAATACCAATGCATGCACTGCACTTCCTAGATTTCTTTTCTTCCTCCACCTTCTGTGTCCCTTTTCTTGCACATTTTATTTTCAAATAGATTAGATACATCTACTGTGCTGTATATAGAGCAAGAAGAAATATTCAGCAGTTGTGGCATTTATGTATAGTTGCAGTTGTGTACTGCTGAAAACGCAGGCTTTTGTAACAATGTGATCTTTAATAACGCACTACAAGTACCAATGTATTTTAGCTATTTTAGTAGGATTTGTTCAATAAATACGTAAGCTCTGAGGGTAGCTGGTATGTCTGTCTTTCCTTAACACAATAAGGGGAGGGCTCCTCCTCTTTTGCACCTCTGTTTGCACCTGTTCTTTACATGGCTTCTGAGGGTTTTTTTGGGGGGAATATCTGGTGAAGTAAAGGTGATTCCTTTTGTTGTCTGCTAAACAACAGCTATTAAGATAATCTAAATGCCAGACCTGGATCTGGGAAATGATAGCTGCTGGACAATGGTAGTCATGAACTTTACTTTCAAGATCACAGAATGGCTGGGCCACATGTGACAATTGATGCCATTTTTAGTAATCCTAGGAGGAGACTGAGGTGCTCTGACAGCAGATACAATATATTTCATTTTCCACTTCTGATAAACAGAGGTAAAAGGCTGTTTTCCTAATTCATTCAATGTAGTTCAAAAGGATGTTGATACAGTAGTCCTCTGTTTAAAAACACTTTGACTGATGCAAAAACTAATATCTGCATTTTTCAGTCATGGAACATACACTGGTTTCATTTTAGCATAGAAAACAGATAGAGCAGCATTTTTTAAAAAAGACAAGTGGTGATCTACAAATTAATTCCAGAAGTAGGTCTGCTTCAAACTTTTCCAGTCATGAGAACAAACAAGGACAGTTCTACATGCCCTGTCCATTCCCACTGGTGAATTTACTCAGGAATTGAGTTTGGTGTGATGACTTTGATTGTATTACAGAAAACCGACCATACACACAGCACCTGATATAAATGGCCACTGATCATACTGTAGGAAGCACAACAGACAGCATGGTGTTTTGGCTAGAGCTAATTCTCTGGTTAGAATGCAGTTTTATCTTACCTACCTGTAGTATATGCATACAGATATTATATATGTAAAAATATATACACACACACGTCTATATACATACATAAATGAGAAACAATTAGTAGAATTAGAGAAATGATTAATTCATCTTATTTTTCTTACCTGTGGTTCCCTGGCTCTGGAAGTAAGTGAACCATTTCTAAGAGAGACATGAAAGGTGATTAAAACATATTTAAATTCCAATACTTATTTCTCGTATTTAGATTTGCTACACATGAAAAGCTTTTATAGTTAAAATATTTTAAAGGATTATACACCTCTTTCTTTGGAACTTGCAGCTGCTGAAATAATGATTGCTTGACCTTCAGCATTGGTTTTTAATCTTCACAGCAACATGCCCCATTTTAATAAAGACATAAGGATCTGTGGATTAGGGTCTTGGATCAAACTACAATAAAGTCAGTCTTGAATACAACAAATAACAGGTCTTTTTGTTAATAATAAATATAGTGGACTCCTTTCTTATAATAACTTTTAATATGCTAACATTTTAGAAACCGAAATTTGCCAAGGATGATTTCATATACATTATGATTAATAGAAGCTTCCTAAATAAGGCAAATGTGACTTACACTTTTTCATCAGCAATAGTGGCTGTGGCACATATGTAGTATCAGCTTCACATATTAAAAAACAGTTACGGTGACCATACCTGAAAAAAAACAACCCAGTTGTATGGCCATTTTAAGGAATACCTCTAGGATTTCATACACGTCTTTCCTGTAATGCTCCATGAATCATCATTATTAGACATGTTTTGAAGAAACTCTACAGTTTGACTGTCTGGAACAGCAGCTGCATGCATCACATGTTTGCTCCTGTCTGGTGAACATACGATAACCTCTCATGCATACACAGGGTTGAAGGGTGATTTGCACCCCTACCTCAGGGCTGGGGCTGGGGAGCTGGGGGAGCAGGGTGGGAATCTTTCCTAGCAGCGTGCTTGACACAGCATGGCACAACTGAACTTTGGTACATGAAGAGCAATGGTGAAAGAAGTACTCACTCTTGTGACAGCAATATTTAGTTTTTCTACAGCACAAAGAGACCTTGAGCTGAATCTGAAAATTAGCAGCATAAAAGCTGATCTAGAGAGATGGCAGTAGGGCAAGGATGGACATTGGAGCAGGCTGTGGCTTCTTAGGTTGGCAGGAAAGATTCATGTGGCTGGAAAGGTGATTAAAACAATTATGGAAAAAAGCAGTGAATGCATTTCGCAGCCAGTTCATGCAGTACAGCCTGATGAGCCATCTTTTTAACCCCCTCGTTAAATAATTATTTGTACAATAGAAAGGCTAACAAAAGTACTTTTAAAGCATTATGGTCAAGTAGATTGATCCAGGAAATACTGGATCTAACTGTAAACCTGGTAATAATGTATTGCGGGGTATGTGGCAAATCAATCCTCGTTGCTCAGCAAATCAAACAAGGAAAAAAAACAGAGATGAATTCTGCAAAATGGGAATAATAAAGGACAGTTGTTTTTCACAAAGTATTTTAAGCTATGCAGATAAAATCACTAATTAGGAACTAGCTATTGTTACCACCAAGCATTACTTAAATGAAAAGTAAGGCAGAACAGCATGTATTATCAATTAAATATCAGTGCTAAATCCCTGCATTGGTAATTATCAAATGAAGAAAATACTAACCCTTAAACTTTGGAGTTTATACTGTCAACAACGTCCTCAGGAGGTGGGTTAAAAAAACTGATTCATACTCATAAGTTTATTCAGTGGAAGTTAGCTAAATTCTGTCTGCATGCATATAAAACCTATGCAAAAGAACATTAACTATTTTAAATAAATATTACTTTAATGTCAAGCTCCAATTAAATGGACTCCAATTAAATTTCTACTATTAAAGATATAATAGACTCCAATTAAATTTCCACTGTTAAAGAGATACTAACGTATTACAAAAGAGAAAAAATTCAATATTCCAGATAAGAAGTTGAAGCCCAAAAAGCAAATTTAAATAGAATGAAATAATCCCAGATCTGTCTGAACATCATCATGTCCCTGTGAAAAAACAAAAGAAAGCAAACGTGATACTGGAATAACCTGAAGTATAACCAGCAAGCGAAGTGGGGTAATAGCTTAGCACTACTCAGCACTGGCAAGGCTACAGCTGGAATAAGACATCCTACTTGGGCATCCAAGCTCAGAGAAGATGGGTATACAGTGGCAAGACTCCAGGGGAATGCAGCAAGCGTGGTGCAAACAACGGCAGGTTCGGAGTGACTGAAAGAAATGGGTTGGTTTAGTCTGAAGTGAAGCTAACAAACTGCTCTTCATGGGGGCAAAGCAAGATAGAGTAGTCTTCAGTATCATGAAACATGTTGAGGTAGTACCTAGGTACCTGGAAAAGACTTTCAAAGGTGGAAGGATAAGAATGTGCTCGAGCAGAGTGCCAGCGAAGCGGCAGTTAATGCTCATCAGAGATCTTTCACATCTTCCCAAACACACTGGCAAATATCTGTTATACTTCATACTACCCATAGCTCAAAGCCAGATGATCCTATCATGAAGTAATGATAGACTTGAATCAGGAATTCTTGTCTTTTTATGGCTTCCTAAACACTTAGTACAGTGTGGCACCTGTATTTCCAAAACCATCCATGCTAGACTTACCCACTCAACTTTTACTCATGTTGCAGTCTGAGTCCAGGGAGGCTATGATCTATGTGCTAAGGCACCAGACCCCTTCTTGTGGCCCCTCGCATCCCTGTTTTCTGATTCATTTGAGTTCTGGTGAAGTAAAACACAGAAATACTGGAACTTACATAGACTTTGCTGCTACAGTCATGAAAACATGGGTAACTTACACTCTAGTTGAGAGAAAGGAAAGACCAGGAGAAGAAAAAAAAAACAAAAAGAAAAGAAAAGAAACCTGGAGAGAATATAGCAAGCAATTAAGGGGAAATAGAAAATTCAGAAGTTGTTCGTTTCCAAGCTGGAGCTCAAGAATGAAAGCTTTGCAGAGAGAAAACGTGGATGTTACACTCCAATTTGCAATAGGTATTTTGTTTTTCAGATGCAGAGCTCTGAAGTACCTTGTTGAAAATGCACAGAAAGCAAACTTGACTCTAGAGGAGAGTCATTGATGGTTTTTCTCCCCGCACTTTTTGAGTAGGGAGCTACAGAAGAGTCAGGCAGGCAGCCCCACTGGGAAAAGATGCAGCAGGAGATGAGGCTAGCTGTGTGGGGACAAGGGGCATGCTTTGATGCCTCAGCCTTGATTCCTCAGCTGTGCCTGCTTAGCCCTCCTTGGGCCTCAAGATCCTGGCATTGTCTCTGCCCGCGGGCAGGCCTGGCAACATTCACACAATGGCCATCATGGTTAGACCTTGTGTCTCTAGTCCCAGGTTAAGTGGGTGAAAGTGGTCAAACAGGGCAGACGCCCTGTAGCTTGCATACTGCTGAAGAATGAGTCCAATATTTGGGGTATGTGAATAATGCCTACCTATGATGCAGTTTAAAGAAGAAAATACATCTTTCATTTATAATTTAATCACTATGTAAATGTAACCCAAAATCCTCAGGTAACCTACTAGCATACTGACAATCCTGGGCTGCCTACACATATTCATCTGAACCATTTTGTAAGTGCATCCAGAGCTCTGAGCTAACATCTGTCTGTCAGGGTACGGCCAGAGCTCAAAGTGCTGTGTAGGCCGGTGTACATTATCTCAGGAAGCAGTGTAACTGCAAAATCAGCACTGCTTTAAGAAAAAATAAAAAAGTCAGAACGATGCTCATATGCTCTATGTGCATTCGCTTCTACCTTGCCCTTTCTGATACTGCCTTATCTCATTTGTCGATTCGTGACATTTCAGAACAGCTTAACTTTGTTTCTGTTCTGAAGGCTCCAATTTAGTGTTTTAAGTTGTAGGTTTAAAGACTTTACCCTTGTATGTCACTTCATGCTTGCTGCTTTTCAAAGCTCCCAGCTCTTTGTGAGTCATCTAATACTTTCCAGCTGCTGATTCCAGAGGAAGAGACATGACCCAGCAGCTGATATTATATACAAAGAAAGAGTTTACACAGCACTGTTTCAAATTAATAGTTAAACCCAGGTAGTTGTATTATTGGGAAAATTACATGTATTAGGACAGATTCTGAAAGTTTCAGGAAGTCACCGCAGTAGGGACTT